TGGGGTAAACACTGACTCTGGAAGGGCAACAAACCCTGAATGAGCACTGGAATGAGTATTTACTGGAAGTAAGGAGCGCACGAGGAGCCCTGTGCAATGGGCTTTGTCCCTGTCCATCAGTCCTGCTCCCCAGAGCAGCACTCACGCCAGCTCAGGCACTTTGATCTGACCATGGGATGGATGAGCCTTCTCTCCATCAGGTTTGCTCCCCAGAGCAGCACTCTCATCACTTTGATCTCACCATGGGATGGATGAGCCTTCCTGCAGCTGCAGGAGGGTGAGACCCCACTGGGCTCTGCAGCCCCTTCCTGAGCCTAGAGGAGAGGAAGGAGCTTATCTCTGCAGAGTCCTCTTAAGAGGAAGGAAAAAGAGGCTTGAAACTTGCTTGCTCTGCTGGTCTCTCAGAAGTTTCTTGCAGTTTCAGAATACTCCTTTATCTCTGGATCTCAAATGCCTGATAGCACAAAAACCAGCAGAGCAGAGGGGGATGGAGAGGAGCCCAGGGCTGTCCTAAATGCAGTTTTTGTCCTGATGGACAGATGGCATCTCCCTGTCCTTTCTCTCACAGGGCAAAGTGTGTGCAGCATTTTCCTGTCGTGGTGACCAGTGTTTCAAAGGCAGGAAAACCACCACTAGATGCATTTTGGGACAGGACTTCTGTGAGGTATGGCCTGGGCTGCACAGCATTTCGTTCCTGTAATGCTAATCCTAAAGGCATGACCCCCAGGCTAATGTCTCTCTCCTTCCAGATGAAGAAGATGGGCTTGAATTACATGGCAGGATGCAGCAGAGCCTGCAAGGCTGCCAAACCAGCCTGTGCTGCTGGGGTGAAGGCTGCCTGCTACCAGGAGTGCTGCCCAGCCACCCCAAAGGGCAGCTGTCTGAAACTGGATGGCAAAGTTCACCTCAACAGCGCCGGGCAGGCAGCACTGGCCCCACTCCTGCAGCTCATGGCATGTGGGGTGGTTCTCCTCCTGAATTTCAGGGTCTCCACCTCCCTCTGGGGGTAGGCAGCAGCCAGGCAGCTCCACAGCCTCTCCTGTAGGATCAGTAGGATCTGCTGCTCTCTGCCTTCAGCCAAGGCTGCTAGCAAACACCCTGTGTACTGTCCCTGTGCCACCAACAGGGTGTCTGAGCCCTCTGCATCTGCTCATGGGCAGCTGCTCCCTTGGGGGGCACTTTGCTCACCCTGCATAGGACCCTGCTGCCAATCCTAAACGCTCCTTAAACCCTTGAGGGTCACTTTACATAGGACCCTGCTGTTGATCCTAAATCCCCCATCAGGCCCATAGCACCCTGTTGTTGATCCTAAACCCCCCCTTAAGCTGCACTCTGCATCCTGCACCATCCCAGCATGGGTGAGTCCTGACATTTCAGTAAAGTTTAACTACTCACCCTGCACAGAACCCTGCTGTTGATCCTAAACCCCTCTTTAGGCCCTTGAGGCCCATAGGACCCTGCTGTGGATTCTAAACCCCCTCAAGCTGCACTCTGCATCCTGCACCATCCCAGCATGGCTGAGTCCTGCCATTTCAGTAAAGTTTAAGCACATGAAAACAAGATTTTCCCAGAGGAAAAGCACTTCATCTGTCCACCTAGAAATCTACACCAAGGGGTTCTATCCTACCCTGCCCAAATCCTGTAGGTCTGAGAGACCTGCAAGCTAATTGTGGATGCTGGAACGGGGGACCTCAGGAGCTGGAACAAGGGGGTTTTAGGCCTCCTTAAAGGAGGTTTTAGGCCTCCTTAAAACCCCCCAAATCCTGCATTGGCACAGGGGCTGCTCTAATCAATGACCTGCTTGTGGCACAGTCTCCCTGCACCCCTCTGACAGCTCCAAAGTGAAAAGCTTCTTGCCTGTGTATGTAAAACAGCAACTTTGTGTTTCATCCCCAGCCTCAGGCGGGGAAGTGGGATTAATCTAAAAGCATCTCAAGTTTTAGATGGTTCTGTTTCACATCTGTGGTTCTCTGCTGCTGAAGCAGAGCCCAGAGGTGAGCACACAGAGCATGGCCAGGCTGAATTACCTGTGGTGCTGTTCCCTGCCACTGGTTCCTTGGAGAAAATATTCCAAAATATTAAAAGTTCTTTGTGTCAGCCGCCTTTGGTGCTGTGTGTGGAGTGTGGCTGAGCACAGTGTGACCTGTGGGAGGGCGGCAGAGCTGGGCTGGGTGGGTCTGAGCCCTTGGAGCCTCGTGTGCTTTCCCAGCAAGGAGAATCAGCGGCGCTGGCCCTCGTGGAGCAGTGCCAGCCCTAACGGGGTGGATGAAATAAAAAACCACGTCATTCTACCACAGCCGGCCCTTCCCACGCTGCAGAGCCCGTTCTGGTGCAGTAAAACCGCAGTTCAGCCTTTGGGTGTGTGTTTAGCTTGTTTCAGTGTCAGTGTATTCACGTCAAGGGTTGTTCTGTTTTAGAAACACAGCCCAGCACCACAATTCTTGAAAGGTTTGGGGCTTGGAGCAGCGTTTTCAGGCTGTTCTCTTGTACTTTGGTGAGCAGAGAAGTGGGACTCACCCGCTTCTGGATTAGGGGGAAGTGCTGCAGGTCTGTCACTGACCGAGACCACTCGGGCTTTCCCTGACTTTCGATCTGCATCCGTGGAAGGAGATACATCCGTCTCGACACTGCAAAAATCTCGGGGTGGTATTTTACAGCACTTACTTACTCCCACACTCCGCATTAATTAATTTGAATAACGGCTTTGTGCTGGGTCATCTTGATATTCAACAACAACAACAAAAAAAAAAAATTCAAGGGGCTACTAAAAAAATAATTCAAGGGGCTACTAAAACCAAGAGCATCTCGCGCTTTTCCGTGGAAATGATCCTTTCCCATGCCTGCCGAGCCCAGCGTTCCCCCTCTCAGTCCCCCTTTCCTTCCGGGAGG